CGCAAATCAGTGGTTATCGATAGAAACGCAATGCACTCTCGCTTAATACCTAGTCTTAAAATCTACGCGTAACCTAAGAAGTATTTATATATTTTTGTCTCCTGACACATCTCGCATCGAAGTGTACGCGTGTAACGATCTCGCATCGTCACTCGTCGCTTCGTTTTAGAATTAAACGGACAATATATTACATTAATTAATTTCGTGAAAAACCTGCATGCACGCGCTCTCTCTCTCTCTCTCTCTCACTCTCTCGCTCGCGCACTCATCCTTTCTCTCTGTCGCTATATATATATATATTGTAATCGTTACTTTGTCTAGCCTAATGCAAAAGAACATAACGACACGAATGAGATATATATATATTTATAATATATATATTTATATATATATTTATAACTATATATATTATTATATATATATAAAGAAGAAAAAAGAAAAAAAAAAGGGAGATAGCAACAACCATGGAATATCGTTCTTCCTCTGTTCGTCCCCCTTAATTATGGTGGTTGTTGCTACTTTGTAATTTCCGTGGCATGGCTACGAAAGTATACGCAATGAAAAAACGGCACTACTTCGTTCCTTTTTTAAACCCCACCGTTTTCGCCTACATTCATGGCGGATAAATCTACGTGAATGGCACAGCCAACGGACCTCGCGCCTCCTGCCAGAGCTTCTGCCTTTCCCGTTCCTCCTGGCAGTGATGCTTCGTGCTTCCGATCCCACTCGCGCTCCAAACAGATGGAAGAAGACAGCGAGGCTGAAGGAGGAAGCTGGAAGGCTTTTAGCTGCGTATCTGACCCGCGTTGCGAGCCATCTTCTCCGGCGGCTCTATCATGCTCTTCGCGCTACCGTTTAGGCTACGTTTACGACTCTTCATAAAGTCTGAAAACACACAACAACCAAACATGTATACACACCTATGCGACACGTACACGGGGTTATTCTCATTAACTCCGTGCATCCGCGTGATACCAGATCTCCGCGATGAAAATAAAGGCAACGTGACGCGTATTTTCCATGGTGCACACCATATTTGCAGCGGTGCACCACGGAGCTGAGGAAGAAACTGGCGAAAAAGCTGGGCAAGCTTAAATCGGGACGGCTGTAATCGCGTGCAATATAAAATTCGACCTCGTGCACGATTTAGCTTGACCAATGCACGTACGCCAAATCGCATTCGCGATAACCTTACGAATACATTATCGACTCACATGCTTGTTAATTATATCGCCGGCTGATAAGATATACACGAATCTTCGCGACGTTCGTTAATGCGTCGAAGTGCGCCTGCGCGGCGCAACGGCGGGATGGAGGACAAACGCGGGGAA